CTTCTCGCCCTCTTTGTGTCTCCTTTGACGGTTTCAGCCCAGTCTGGGGTGTCTGGGGACCTAAACCTACAGCCCTCTTTCCGCCCTGTGAGATCAGACAGTAGCTGAGCCCACAAGAGGAAAAGGTAGTACTGAGTCTGTGAGAAAACCAGGGCTCAATGCCTTATTCTAATCCTGCCCACCGCAGAGCAGAGCCAGCCAATGGCAGGCTGGCAGGGCACCAGCTTGAGCAGTCCTTCCTGAAAGTCTGCCTCAGACAATGAGGTTCTTTCAGTCCCAGGAACCAGCAGCTAATTGCAGTGCTTTTCAAATAAATTTAAGCAGTGCTTCAGAGCAATTGCCCCTGGGGACATGGGTGTGCATTTTGTACATTGGCTCATACACAGAGGCAGGGTGTGCCCCGCGTTAGAAGAAGGCCTCTGGAAAGCAGATTGGCCAGTTGTACAGCCGCCCTTGCATACACACGTAGATAATGACAGATCTCGGGAGCTCAGAGCACTTTCTAAACAGACAGGTAGGTAGGCAGTGAGTCAACACCAAAATTGAATTCCCCTTACACTCCAGCCAGTTTTCTTCATGGTTCTGCAGTTTAGAAGAATAGTTATATTTTCCTCTCTGTGACACAGGGTAACCAGTTAAAATAATTCCCATGGAGAACCTGGGAAATCTTGCACTCATGATAAAATCGGAATCATCACCACAAGAACAGATCTCTACATTAAAACCATATTTCCACCTCTTTTACCTCACAATAAAGCTTTAGAGATAGCAGGAATGGGTTACTAGACCTATTAACAGAAAAGAAAATGAAAATACGGGGAGCATTATTGATGTAGGAAGGCCCCATGCTTTTCAAAACAGAGGCAGGAACGGTTCTGCCGGTGCCACAACCAGAGTGTTCTGACTCCCAAAGATCTTTCTTCATTAGTTACACAGTTTGAATCCTGAAGACCTAAAAGTAGCAGAGACTACCATCTGAGCTTGCTTTAGTACACACTTTTAAACAATATTCATTTTAACCTAAAGGAGCAAGGGGCTGGCTCTGAGTGCATACTATGAGATTGTGGTAAGTGTGACCTTCGGGGTTGGTTGATGACACTGCATGCCTGGAGAATGTTCCCTTAGGAGGCAGGGCACCTGGAAAAGAAAGAGAGAAAGTGGGACAGCTGAGGTACAGAAAACCAAGCCTTCCCAATGGGAGAAAGAACAATGAATCTGCTTCTACTCTCTGCAGTTTCTACTGGGTAATTTTCCCCTACTCTATTCACTCGAACACGTTTACCCCATTTTTCTGTCACGGGACTGCCTATCTTGCCACTTGCGTTAGGACAACCCGATTGTTGTAAAAACTCTGCACCTGAGAGCAGGTATCGCTCGTTACATATTTGGTGTCATCTAACACTGTACTGGCTCAGAGGTACACATGCTGGGAAGCCAGTGGAGAAAGAGAGTCTACCATAGGCTGCGGGTGGCCACGGTGGAAAACAGATTCAAGGTTCCTCGGAATAACTAGAAATAAAACTATGGTGTGGTCCAGCAATCCCATCACTGAGCATACATGCAAAGGAAATGAAATCTATGTCCCAAGGACACCTGTGCTCCTCTGTTCATTGCAGCAATGTTCCCAAAAGCATAGAAATGGAATCATCCCAGGTGTCCATCATCAGATGCATGGACAAAGAAAATGTCTAAAAAGTCACAATAAAATGTTGTTCAACCATCAAAAAGAACAAAATGTTGTTATCTGTGTTATTTGTGGCCACATGGATGAGCTCGGAGGACACTGTGCTGGGTCAGATAAGCGTGCCACAGAGAGGCGAGCACTGCATGTTCTCACTCACACACTGAAGCCAAAAGAGTTCACCTCACGGAAATCAAGAGTGGAACGGTGCGAAGGGAGGGTGAGGATGGTGCTGGGGTGCAGCTGGAGTGGAGGAATCATTTCTAATGTTCTGCTCCACAGCAGGGACAACATGGTTGGCAGCAATTAATTGTATATTTTAAAATAGCCAGCAGAAAGAATATTGAATGCCTTCAAAGCAGAGGAATAAGTACTTGAAGGAATGAATATATCAGTTACCCACTGCCAATCATTACACCCGTATACATGTTCTAAAATATCATTCTGTTTCCCATAAAGATGTACGGTCATCACGTCAGTTAAAATAACTTTGAAGAGAATAGTTCCAATACATAACACAGAGAGAAAACTTCTAGGTAGTACCATAAGCACTGTACATAAAGTAACATATTTGTCTGTGTTGAAGGAAAATCTATGGGGTATTAGTATTTCTAGCTTTGTCCATGTTTTAAAAATGAGGAAACAGGCACAGAAGAGTTAAGTCACCTTTCCAAATTCAGGGCAGCAGAAATGCCAGTCCTCGATTTTGAATCTTGGATATCCAGCTCTCTACTAAGATACTGAATGCCTGGAGATGAGGGATGCATTTCCTTTATTTTATTCTTAGCCGCTTTCCACACAGACAAAAGAAAATTTTGTGCATCTTTCATCTCCGGGTGATCCAGCACTGACATCAGGAAATAAGCCTTCAGCAAATTTTCAATCTAACATGTAAAGTAAGAACATGAAGGTCCCGGATAGCAAGGCCTACCATGGGTCCGACCCGTCCCTGGCTGACAGTCATGGGTGTCAGCACTCAAAAAGTCACTCTTGGCTGGCCCAGGAGCACAGCAGCATCTCCCGAGTAAATGACAGAGAAGTGACCCCTCCCAGGCTGGCCTGCTGTGTGACGCAGTTATAAAGACCCAGCTGTTTATGAGGACGGTGAGAAGGCGGGAGACACAGCCAGCCCACTCTTTCTAAATAAACGACCGAGTGACTCTTCCTCCACTGCGGAAAGATCCCAGCTTTTCTAAAACTCTTTGGGGGGTTAAAAAAAAATCTCAGAATCTTACCCTTTAAAGAAACTCTGGGTGAAACATGTCTCTCATGATCATGACAATCCTGAGTGTTGCATCTGAGTTGAGGCATGGACTTCATTGCCTCCAGGGAGGAGTTGAAATTGTGAGACAAAGCCAGGAGGGATCAGCGTCTGTGAAATGAGACAGACCCTCCACGTTTCAGGAAGATCTGAACCCAGCCAACACGGGCCTACACACCCACACTCCTGTGTCCGTTCTGGAAAGGAGCGCTCACTTAGGAGGGTCCATGTGGACAGAGAATTTTTTTCTGAGAACACCCCATTATCAGTGCTTGTGAGTATTCCAGACACCCTGCCCAGGAAGCAGGAATGAGGATCCGAGGGATGTGAAGGTCTTTGCCTAACCCCGCCCCACCCCATGTCCACAGCCCTTCCACCCGTGGATCGGATTGGTCGGATAGGACACAGGATGTCTCAAGCTCACCGGAAGTGCCAGAAACTGCCCGGGAGGAGCCCTTGCCTTTCCCCACCAAACTCCGGAAGGGATTGCCTCCTCAAGGCTCCCAGATAGTCACAGCCTCGAGGGATCCTGACCTGATGCCTGTGAACAGCAAATACTGAGTGTGCGCGTGCTGAAATTACAAAACCCCAATTCAGAAATCATCGACAGCACCGAGAGTTCCCATAAATACCATGGCACTTAAGTCAATTTAATGCGATCGGTGTGCTTATCCCTTCCTTTTTCAGGGGGCAAACTAAGCCAGAAGAAGTAATTTGGCGGATGTCCCATAGCTAATAAATTACAGAGCTCAGATATGGACCAGATCCATGGATCTTTAAAAGTCACACTTTATCTTTCCTTGGTTGATTCCCTTTAAAAAAAAAATTTTTTTTGCTAAGCTATAGAAATAAACAGACACTAATTTGTAGAAAACTGGAGAAGCACTACAAAAAAATTTTAAAGATATAGTGTTGTGTAATAGCATAATCCAAAAGGAACTAATGCCAACATTTTGGCATCAAATATCACTAAGCAACTACAAATTTGTTGACCAGTTTTTCTTTTGTTATACTGAAATCATGAGTCCATCCCATTAAACATTCTATAATAACTTATTACTCAATTTATTCGAACTTAATACTCAATTTATTTATAATTAATGCAATGCTGCCTTCTTATCATTGAACATTTAGGCCACATCTGATTTTTGACAATTATAAGTGATACAGGAATATGTCCCTTTTTACATCAATTTGGGGTTCAGCTATTAAAAACATTTTAAATACATTCTCAAATATAAGAAATGTGGTTTTACTACTATTCCATGCTACTTTTTTTTTTTTAAATTAAGACTTCTCTTCATCACCTCTCCCACCACGCTGAAATCTCTTCTGCCTTATCTGTAGAGCACCAGGTCCAGTTACTGTCATCAGTGCCTGCACCCCAAATCTGGGGAGAGGATAGGAAGAGCTTGGCGTCAGCGTTCCAGCATCAGCTGTGGAAAGGGTGCAGGCGTGGGATGACTCTGAGGCTTCTTCCCTGTTTTCTCACCTGGAAAATGGGGCACTAACTGTACCTCCCTCAAAAGATTGATGGGAAGATTAAAGAGATAAAACATGTGACATGAAAGCCATCATGTGTTCAGTGAATGAGAGTTGCTCTCACCTTTGGATACCCTGACAGATTTAGAAACTTTCAAGGGGACATGCAAAGGAAAAGAAAGTTTGAGTGCTTTATGTTGATTGGGGTATTGGTTTTGGTTTCATTTTCGATTTTTTTTTCCTTGCTTGATTGTGAGGTTTTTTTGTAAAATAAAGCTCTGTTTCAAGAAGAAGTTTGAAAGTACTTAAAATATATTGATGGGAAGGACAGCTGCCAAAATAACATTTCCCAAGTCCAGCAAGCATTCGCGTCACCCTGGAGGTTTTGAAAGCTTTTGTTCACACATTGAATCAACAAATCTGAAGGTTTCCGTTCATAGTCACATCCCAGAGCAGGCGAATCTGAGCCACCTTGCAGCTGGGCCAGTCCCTCCTCCCTTGGGGCGGGCTCCACGTCCAGCCTCAGCACGATTGGCTCCAGCTCCTTGCTCAGGGACATTTAACCAAGAGGGAGGATGCTGCACAGAGGCAGAGAGAGAAGGGAAGCAGAGAAAGATGGTCTAACTCTCCCAGAGCAGCAGACTCATGACAGACGAGGGTAGCAACAGGCTGGGAAGGAGCTCACTAGCAGGTTTGAGGAGAGGCAACCAGGCTCACAATTTTTCTGCTGTGTGAATCTGACTGCCCTGGAATGAAAGGGAAGGAAGGCATCTGTTCCATGGTCCACTGAGACGATTAGACCTTTCAGAAATCAGCACAGATCACCCTGGGTATTCAGGGGCCATGAAGCTTGAGGAGAAGCTTGAGAATGGACACGTGGGAGGGACAACGGAGCCTTGTCTCAGTGAGACACCCCAGGCAAATGGGAAGCCAAGAGCAAACGGGAAAGCTGAGGGCTCCACAAAGCGGGAGGCAAATGGCAAGAGCTATGTGCCCAGGAGAAGTCTCAAGGCGTACACCTGGCAGGAGATCCAGAGACACAACCAGGAGGGTGACCAGTGGCTGGTGATCAGCCGCAAGGTTTACAATGTCACCGAGTGGGCGTTCAAGCATCCAGGTGGGCACCGAGTTCTCAACCACTATGCTGGGGAAGATGCCACGGTAAGGATCCTCTTTCTCTCCCTCTGCTTCTCTATCTCTCTCTCTCTCTCTCCCTCTCCTCCCCAACGCACGGTGCCTGAGATCTTGGCTATCTTCCCAAAAACATTCAAGTACATGTTCAGACTCCAAGATCACTCACCTCCTCCCAAACCAATTTTTCAGGATTTCTATCTAGGACTCTGGACTCTGGAAGCAATTTAGACCTCAAGATCTAGCTATTACCTGCACCCAGTTTAGGGTGAACTCAGACGTTGACTGCAAACCTGTTTTTGTGTATTCCGGATTTGCTTAGGTTTGGCATGAGGTGGGGTCTGTATCTTTTAAGCAGAAAGTTGATAGTAGTTGAGTAAAACCCGGAGGGGAAAAATTTCCACCCCAAGCAAAAATTTCTAAGACTTTTATAATTGGAGTGTTTCAAAGAAAGAAATCAGTTCATCTAATGGCCATCTACATGTTGTTAAAGATGACAGTAGCCAACAATGACTATAACTTTTACAGTGGCAGAGTGATTCTGATCAGGTGGTTGCTCATTCAGTGTGACGGAGATGATGCAATCCACTTTTATGGAGATGTTTAAATGCACCAACTTAACACTCCCCATGAGGAAAGTAAGAAGTACCCCTGCAGTACAGATGAGAATGCTGATTGCAAAGTGATAAATAATGTGTCACCCAGCTAGCGATCGCTACTGCCAAACTTCAGAGTCGGGTTGGTTTGCTCACAAACCCCTATTCATATGGGTTCTTTAAAAACACAATTTCCATTTACTGTTTAATAAGGAGGGCTTTCAAACTCTTAAGTGCATTTAAGAATTCTTTTTAAAATATTCTATAAGGACATTTGTTTTTCTCTTAACTGGGAATTTTATTTTCCATATACTACAGATGAAAAAACAGAAGCTTAGGGGGTTTAACCATCTAACTCAAAGCAGAAAATTGATATATAGCACAATAGAAATTTAAGCCTTGGCTTTAAAACAAATTTTTTTTGCCTGTTGATCTTACAAATACATACATACAGCTCCTGCAGCTGGTTTTGAAGCATAAGGTCAGAGACATCATTTGCTCAACACCAGTCTGCAGCTGGCACATGCTAATAATAAAAGAATTTGAAGACAGTAGACAATTTTTGAAATACAGATTTTATTTTTTTACCCCATCACCATCTTTTCCCTCAGTTTTCCCCCAATTCTCAGTTTTTCCCCGGTTTCTCATTCCTCTCTTCTGCCTTTGTTTTGTTTTTTTACCGTCTTCTGCTCTTGATTCTGCAATCTGATGAATGTCTTTCTGAAAATATCCTGGGACATCCTTACTACTTCTGTCAAATCTGATTTAAAAACTAACAAAGCCAAACCTTTCTTAGGAAAATGAGTGTCAGCCTATAGTAATGGGTGAGAGTATTGCACATGTTAAGAAGGCAGACACTGTGCAGAAGCCTAGGCATGGAAGGGTAGCAAAAGCAAGATGGGGAATATTTCTTTGAGAATCACAGGCAAGTAGATGACAGATATAAAATGAGAAAAAGATGACAGAGTCCTATTCAGTCCTTCTAATTTCCACAACTCAGAGAAAATATGGACAAGGCTTCTCTAAGTCACAGTATTAATTCAAAGAGTGCATTGGAAAGGATGTGGACTTTCAACCATCTTGAAAATAACTGATAGCCTCACCACCCTTGAAGCAGCCTGGATGATAAATCTTTAATTTGCTAATAATTTTAATTCCCAAGAAGTCAGGACAAGACTATGCTTATGCATCCAACTCTAGCTAAGGAAGAAGAATTGATTAATACCATAGAAACTATCAGCTTCTTGGGGACATATAGCCATGTCACTCTAGGATTCATGTATATCCAGGAAGAAAATCATAACCTTGGTAAGGAAAATATAACAAAAAACGTTCAGAGAAAAGATTTGCTAAGAGAAGATGGATCAAGAACAGGATGGGTGCCAGGAGAGTCCTGACCATTAGCATATTCCAGGAATAGTCAGAGAACAACGAGCCTGAACTTGGACTCATTTATGTGAACTGGCACAAGTTATTGGAGTGTCCTCAGTCTCAGTTCAGTGATGTGCAGAGGAGGAAGGACACCACCCATGTGACTGGTTGATGGTAACTGGAATGAATGCCTGTACATAGTAGGTATAGGTAAAGGTTCATTAGATGATAGCTATTTTTGACTCATCACCAGAAATATTATTTCCTGTTTGCTCAACATCACCTTACAAGCCTGATGGTATTTGGTGCCATTTGCTTGGGAAGAGTCTATGATGGAGATACACACTGCTCTTGGGTGAAGGAAGGCAGAACATCAAGTCAGAGGAGCAGAGGTCCAATGCCCACTCTTGATTTTAAGAGATGTTTTCAGGCTGTGCACGACTAGGTGGGGACCAAAGCACAGTATGTCAGCACTAGACCACCGCTGCAACTGCCCAGATGGAGCACTTGCTCTTATTTACACAGGGTCTCTTTTCTGGACCTCATACAAGGTGAGTGATAGCCAAATGGCCTGCCCCATGGGTCCTTAACCCATTCATCCATGCCGTCAGTTGTTCTAAAGCCTTGGTTAAGTAGGGGCCCAACCTAATGGTGAAAGTGCGGGTAACGGACAGAAACAGGTGTGGTGTGCACCTGGGCTCTACATTTACTACGAAGGGCCTGTGGAATCTTGCTCTTGGATCCTCAGGGATTTTTTAATCTAGAAAATAGGGGCAGCAAGACCCTCATCTCAGTGTTGTTCTCAGAGTAAGTGGGGATAAAGCACTCCTTAACAGTGCTTGGCACTGACTAAATCCTCAGGAAGTGGTAGTCTTTGTTTCACTGTTATTTCACTTTTCTGCGTTTAATGTTCTTCAGGGAACTTACTAAGAAACATAACTCTATACTATACATGGTGGTGCACCCTTGTAATCCCAACACTTTGGGTGACCAAACCAGGGTGATCACAAGTTCAAACCCAGCCTGAGAAGTTTAATGACTTGGTGAAATCCTATCTCAAAAAATAAAAATCAAAAAAAAAAAAAAATAGGAAGGGCTGGGTAAGTAATTCAGCAGGAAGTTCCTGAGATCGAAAATAAAATATAACAATAAAATTAAAAGGGTTGAGGTGGTAGTTCAGTGCAAAGGCCCTGAGTTCAATCCAAGGAAGGAAGGAAGGAGGAAGGGAGGGGGAGCAGGAGGGAGGGAGGAAGAATCTATAAAACAAAATCAGCACCTACAGTTCTTTTTGTTACGTGTTATTATGTTACTGGACGTGTGAGTTTTCTGGTCTTTTAAAGCTATATAATTTAAAACTCATGTCACAATGCTAATAAGCAGAGTCTGGCCCCAGGTCTTTTCACTGGTATGAGCTCACCCATGCAAAGCAAGAAAGCCTGTATGTTCAACAAGAAGAATTGATTTTAAAGATTAATGTAATTATAGCAAGATATGATATTTTGCAATCATTAAAATAAAGACGACAGAGTATTTTATGATATACATGCTATGTACTATGTACTATGTGTGTATGTACAGAGTTCACCCGAAATTTCTGTAAGATAAGCGCACATCCCAAGTTTCATGAGAAGTGTGAGTGCAGCTGCAGGATGGACGCACAGAGGTAGTGTGCTCCGGAGGCAGGAGGGAGGTTTGCTGCCCTGTGTGCCTGCCGGTCACTCTTCTCCTCTGCGCTCTGTTCCACAAAGAATGGCGAGCAGCACAGGTGCTTTCTCATGAATGCCCAGGGTGAACTAGTCAGGTGACAAAACTTAGAAGAAATAAGGCTTAGTCTGTTTCAACTATCTGGGGAGCTCCTGTGTAGACAAAGGTAGAGCTGTGTGCAACTCCCAGAGAGGGACTTGCACAAGGTTTGAGATGAGCAGAGGAAACAGAGGCGAGGCTGAGGCAGGAGATGTTAGGTGAGGCAGAGATGGGGGTAGATGAGATTCAGGTCAAGAGTGAGCATCCAAGCAGCGTGGGTATCTAGGGCTGGCCACTCCCTTAGCTTCACACAGCACTTCAAAAGTACATGCTCTGTTAATGTTGGGGGCTACGGCAGCACGATGATGGTATGAGAAGATAAAGGGAGACAGTAGGAAAAGAAGAAGATAGGAAGAAGGAGAAAAGAGACCTGCAGGGCTGAGCTAAGCTGTTTGCATTTTACCCTCCGTGCATGGCAACCCTCCTTCCCCAGAGTAGAGAAGCGGGGGATTTTGAGTTCTAACAGACAACAAAGTGTCACGAAGAGGGACTGCTTCCCTAAAAGGGGCTTGGCGACTGAGTGAAGAATGAAATCAGGTCGAGCTGGTTGCCATAAAGGAAGACCAGCAGGGAGTCCAGGGAACACGGTGAATGCGCAGAGCGAACACGCGCTACAGGCACGGAGGGGACTGCACGGGCGTGAAGGGAGTTCAGAAGCCAGGGTTTATAGTTGCTGATTCACTGCATACCTACACAGTGAGTCCTTGTCTTAAAACAAAAAAGGGCTGGGGATGCAGCTCAGTGGTTGAGCGCCCGTGGTTTCAATCCCTAGTACAAAAACTAAAACTAGAGGAGCAAGTCTAAATTCACCTACCTGACTTGGGCAACTAGGTGGTGAAATCCAATATAAGATAAGAGGATGAGGAGGGCGGGCTCAGAAGGAGAAGGAAGGGAGGCACTGGAGCTCAGCTACCAGATCACAATATTTCCATCAAAGGGAAACTTTGAGAAAGATCTCAACAGAAGGCACTGCAGTGCAAAACAAGCACACGCTATTCCTGCCGGAGAAAGGGAATCCGGTGTCCTCCCGGGAGCAGGTTCTACCCCAGCTGCATTCCCCAGGAGGAGGGCAGAGGTGCGTTCTCCTCACAGATCAGCCCATTCACACTCAGCCTCCGCCTGGAACACGAGTAGTCACATCTGAGCCACAGCCTTGGAGCACGTGAGACCCAAGAAGCAAGCAGAAGAGGAAATGCCCAAAGGCGAGGAGAAGGAGTTTCAGTCTGTGATTGGGTATAGAATATTCCTGTGAGCTTTTAC